AGATAGAATATGTAGAAATTCGACCATTTGTCCGTTGTCGAGAGTCGATGCAATGAAATATGTGGAAATGTATAGCCTTTTGTCCATTGTTAAAGGCTAAATGAAATAACAAATCCGACTCTTTGTCTATCATTGAAAGCTACAAGATATAGTAGTGAATATCGCTACAGAGACATGATCGTCAAAAAATGCCCAACTATGTTGTCGAAATAGATTTAATCGTGTCTAGTTATGTATGTGGAAATAGATGCTGGAGTAAGCTGCATTTTGCAAAGTTTTCAACGAAGTGAATAAGTGTTGTTTCTAACAATGTTGATTCCATTGCAACAATCAGTAAAAAATAAAAATTACACATCCGATGTGAAAAATAAGCGTGGTGGACCTTTGCTGACGTGAATCCGCACATATCATTGGTCACACAACCATATAAATTCATCCCTCAACACAATTTATCAACTATTTATCTTTAATCAATCCAAAAAATAGTGTATATGATTTGCATAAACATTAACATAGAAAAAAAAAAGATTTACATAAAGACAATATTAAATATAATAATTAGTTTTTTTAAAACATTTATTATAAAATTATATTTTTAAGTTACTACAAGAAAAATGATTTTTGGTGACAGAAATTTGTGATGAATTTTGAAATCATCACTATAACTTATCACAATTGTGACAAATCTAAAAAAATAATCACAGATGCATACATATTTAATGATAAACAAAAAAATTCATCATAAAAAATATATTTCGTAAAAAAAAAATGTTCATACAGATAAAATAAGTTTTTTTCGATAAAAATCATCACTATAATACATTACAATTATGATAAAATTTTAATATTGGTCACATATACCTTACACATTCAATGATGACCAAATAATTTATCACTAAAAAATATATTTCATCACTAAAAACTATCAATTTTTTCTAATTAATACATCCCACATCGATAAAAAACATATAAGAGAATAAGGTTTTACACTATAAATATATCCCACATCGATAA